CTGTGGTTTGTTGCGCGATAAGCATACGGATATGTCAGTTAATTATTTGTTTATATTTTTCCCTTTTTTATTTTTCGCTGCCTTTTTTTATACACACAAAGTACATGTGTTTATTCTTGCAGTGTATGTGTATGTAAGCGTTAGTACATAGCATATATATATGTATATTGTCGCCGCTGAATATATATATATATATATATACATAATATACATATGTATATATATGCATGTTCATGTTCTGTTTAAGATTTTATGCTGATTAAAGCATTTCGCACTCTTTGCTCGCGTGTTGTCTTTTTGTAGTTGTGCAATTAAATTATTTAAAAAGTGTTTGCAAAAATGTATTCAAACGTTTTACAACACTTAAGTGTAGTTCGACTGCCTTAAGGAAACTCTTCAATTTTGTTAGTATTTTCTATGCCTTTTATACTTATCCGAGCCGAGTTTATGTCAGCTAAGTCCTCAATTACTTTAATCGATTTGATAAAAAGTAACTTAAATTAAGTTCAAAGTTCGCGAATCGCAAACTTTTCGAAATCTTCAAATGACGTTAACAGCGGCAAGGCGAGCCCACCCCCCACCCCCCACACACAACCAGCCCACACACCGATGCCACGCCCCTTCTGCTCGGTTTACGTGCAGATGTTTTGCAGCAAGTGCAGCTGCAACTGTTGGCGCTGTGGCAGCAGCGGCAACGAAACAGGCGACTAGAAAGAAAGCGCAAGCAAAAAAGCTCCATAATATACAAACACACACACACACACACACACACACGCGCGCGCACATACAACAATGCACAGCGTGTAAGGGGCAGGGGGAGGAGGCGGGGAGGGCGAATTGACGCTGATGAAGAAAGCCATAAACCGGTGCAAATCGTTGCTGTTGTTGTTGTCTCTGTTGCCGTGGCCGTCTCTGGCTTTGGCTGCGGCTCTTGGCAATTTCGATGTGCAACAAGCAGCGTGCAACTAATCGCAACAGCTGAGCGCCTGTTACGCAGCGTCTGCAAAACACCTGGAATGGGGCATACAATTTCGGGATAGCCGCAGCGCTCGACAGCAGCAAACAGCACAGGGAATATAATACACCGCAAAAAATAAATTGGGTTTTGATTTTAAGCAAAATTGTGTGTTCTTTTAGATGTTATATGCATTCAGACATCACTTAAATTTAATAAAAAGAGAAAAGAGATTTACTTATTGAAAGTTATTTATGTGAGTGTAATTAAATTTAAACGCGCTGACGACAAAAATGGCGAAAAATGTGTTTTGTTCGTGGCGGGTTCGAACCAGGGATCGCGCGCTCGCCAAGCGTCAGTCGTTCCATTGCGCTGCCGCTTGCAATTAAACTACCCCTCGAAAACTGTGTAGGCAGAGGATTCGAACCACCAATTTTGTGTGTTTAGATTAAGATTTTAAATTAAACTTTGTTTTTAAATTTAAGCAAAAAGGGCATAAGTTGAAAGTGCATTTGTATGCTCTAAAGCTTAAAATAAATTTAGAAATAACGTTTAGTTAAGAACATAAACTTAATATTAATATGCTGAAAGGTTTGTATACGATAACAATTTTCGCTGAGTGTATTAAATGCTAAAGCGAGCGAAAAAGCAAACGAATTGTTCAACTGACCTAGTCTTTCAGGCAGTTGGAAGAAGAGCTGGCTGGTTCGAATCTCAGGCTAGTGTTATAATAACAATTACTTGGAAAATAATAATAGTTTAAAAATTGGAAAAACAATATACATAAAGACAACATCTTCTGCGTGTTGCGCAGTTTTAGCTGCAGCTTTTGCTCAAGGGCTGTCTTCGAGTCGATTATGTTGTTGTTGCTGTTGTTGAGGGGATGTTTCGCATCGGTTCAACTTGCATTGAACGCGAGGGTTCACTGTCCCAAACTGTGGGAGAAGCAGCGACAGCAGCAACAACAGCAAAGCTTTGGCAAAGCGAAACCTGTTTGCTCGCCCGGCGGCAGCAACTGTAGAAGCGGGGGCAAGCAGGGGACAGACGGCAGGCGGCAGCATTGACCTCAACTGAGTCAACGACAAAATATGCCAGTCCGCAGGCCGCAGGGATCAGGCAATCGAAATAATGCAGAACATGGTGCGAAATATTTAATACAGAAATGCCACAGCCAAATGGCTAAAAAGAAGCTGCTGCCAGTTGTTGTTGTTGTTGTTGCAACTGCAGGCGAAACCAGTTTTGGAGCCAAACACAATCCCAATGCGGCGCATCTCTCGCTTAGGCCACCTACATTTGTGTAGGCCTTAGACAACGGCTAAGCCTAAGCTGCGGCGGCAATAGCTGCTCAGCTTAATTGGGTCATTCACTTGCTCGACAAAATACACACACAAACACACACACACACAGAGGCACACACAACATTTGAGCCAGAGCAACTTCCGGTACAACAAGACGCAGACACGCGAACATACGAGACAAAGACAGCAGACAGGGAGGGAGAGAGAGAGAGGGAGAGCGTGAGCGAGACAGCGTTCGTTAAGCTATGGAAGCGACTCGAAACATGGTCTTAAATACATAAATACCGGAACATATCCGACACGCGCAACGCCGGGCAATTCTTTAAGTATAGCATATATCTCAAAGCATTCACGTTGTTCGGAGTTTTATTGATTGATTGAGCTTTTTAAATTTCAGTTATTCTTTTCAATGTTTAGCCTCTAAAATGAAATGCTTCCATGTCGCAGGACCTTAAACTGTCACAACATTATCGGAATTAAATTAATATGTATACATTTATTATTAAAACGTATCTTTTAAGCATTGTCCAACCTATCTAATCTAAAATAAACAAACCGCTCTCTCTCTCTCTCTCTCGTACTCTCTCTTTTATCTTCTGTTTCTCAGTTCCTTTTATGCTGTTATGGGAATTTGATTGATTTGATCGGCATCCGCATCGAGCGTTAGCTGGAATGTGAGAGAGCACTTTCTCTCCGCTCACTCGCTCTCTCAGCTGCAAAAAAAAAAGGAAAAGGATCAAGCAAGGACAGCAGCGCAGACAGCAGCAAAAGAGCCAAAGACCGAAAAAGAGGGCTAGAGAGCGAGAGAGAGAGAGAGAGAGAAGCAGAGTCAACAAGAAAAAGGCAAATAAAATGTTAACCTAACCAAAGCCGTAAAAACTCAACCGACAACTTTTCGAGTCAGCAAACGCTGCCAGCGTCGACGGTGACGGTGACGTCGACGTCGACGTCGACAGCAGCAGCACATCCATCATTCGTCGTAGTGTGCAATGCGAGCTAAACTCCAAAGAAAATCCAGCCAATTGTTTCTAGAGAGCAACAAGAACAGCAACAAACTGCAAGCGCCGTTTCGCAAGCGCTCTTCGCATTGCTTTGTTACGAGGGTTGCCACACAGTTTAACGGCTGTCATTAGCTTTTACATAGATTTCTGAGTGTCATAGTGTTTAGCTTTTCTTTGTCTGCCCTCGCACCAATTTGATAATCGCATTAGGCAAGATTGTTGTTGTTGTTGTTGTTACTGTTGGAGTTAGAGTAGACCCACTTAAACTGGTCCGCAGCTTGATCTATTTTTAGTTTAGCCGAAAGCTTTTGCAAAGCTCTTGCAAAAGTTCACAAACGCAACGGAACGGCAATCAATGTGAAGTAGTTAATGGCCAAGGTCTTGATTCGCCCACCCACACACACAGGTATACGGACACAAGCACACGCACACGCACACACAATAAGTAAGGAGCAGCAAATAAAGAGAACGAGGTATACAAATAAGAAGCAGCAACAGCGCAGCTTTTGTCACTTACCCAACATTAGCACGGGGCTTGGCGATAATCCAATTTGATTTTTTTTTATTATTATTAGTTTGTCATTTCAATGAGTACGACGCGCACAAAAACAACTACAACGACAAAATTATTAGATTGCAAACAACAACAACAACAAGAACAACAAGAACAAGAGCAGCACGGAAATCAGTTCAAAATTGCGGCCGCTGCTACTACGTGTGTGTGTGTGTGTGTAAAAATCAAAACAAAACACGACAAAAACACACACACACACACGCAAAGTGAGAGAGCGACGGCCACTGAGAGTGCGAGCATAGAAAAAGAACAACAACAACAACTACAACAAATTAAGCTGCGATCTCTGCTGCTGTACAGTATTGTTGTTGTTATTGTTGCTAATATTGCTGCTGTTGCGCTTGTTGTTTCTTATGGCTGCCTTTTGTTTTGACTGCAACATGTTGAATGTTGCAGCCAACACACACACACACACACAGCTTCAACACACACGCACTCACACAGCGTCCAGAGACTGGCCCTAACGGTAAATGTAAAAACAACTTAAGCAGCGCATAACTGAAACTCGCAATAAAAATGTATATAAAAATATTTGATAAGCTGCATTTGATTTAATTAACACATTTAGCATAAGCAATTGCACTTTGCATACCCATCGGGTTGTTTTGTTGTTGTTGTTGTTTGTTTTGGGATCGCACAAAAAGGACGCGCGCGTATAAACTCACAAATGTATTGGGAAGCCATACAATTTGATGTATTATATTTATATTTTGGTCACTTTGTTAAACACACAATAAACACTAAACGTACACAGTTCTTGTTTGTTAAATGTTCGTTTCATTAAACGTAAATATGCGCGAGAAATATACGAAACTCCAAAAAGGGCACAAAAAAACACCGCGTACGTGCTCTGCATACAACAGAAAAAAAAGCGGCACTGACGTGGTGTGACCGTACTTAGTAAAACGTATATTGCCACAGTGTAGCTACACAAAGCGAAAAAAAAGGGTATACAGCGAGCAGTGCTGCAAAGTGCCACTCATAAACGATATATCGGATTGTTTAACGTGCTGTAGCAGCTTACACTTTGATTTTAAATGGTACATTAATATGCCACATAATTTAATATACTTACTGCACCTTGATCTGTGTTCCAACTAAAACAATTGCAGTGTGTTCGTCATATTGTTAGTGTTATCGATAAGTTCGCGCTGCAAAAATACCAAAAACCCAGCCGATCTGGCAACCTGCACAGCTGTTTAAGTTTGCAATTTTTCATACATTTATGTTTTCGTTTTGCAATTTTATGTTTACAAATTTATTTGCATTTTAAATGCAAACATGAACAACGACTGGCCAGGCGACGACGCCGCATTCGATTTGGCATTAAATGATGAAGCCTTGGGTAAACTACTAGATGCACCAACGCAGCAGCAGCCGCCAAACATTAGCCCGGAGTTCGAGGGCTTCGATGAGAGCTGCGGCAATAATTGGCTTTATCCGAGCAATTTGCCGCTTCGCTCGTATCAGCACAGCATTGTCCAGGCGGCGCTCTATCGGAACACCCTGGTGGTGTTGCCTACGGGACTGGGCAAGACATTCATTGCATCCGTGGTGATGTACAATCTGTATCGCTGGTATCCCAAAAGCAAGCTGATTTTTATGGCGCCAACTCGTCCGCTGGTCTCACAGCAGATTGCCGCCTGCCAGAAGATAATGCCCTTTCCCGCCGAGGACACGGTGGAGCTAACGGGCCGTTTGCCGCGTGCCAAACGCGCTGAGCTGTGGCTGAGCAAGCGCGTCTTCTTTGCCACGCCCCAAGTGGTGCAGTCGGACATGCTGGACACGGGCGATGGTATGCAGTTTCCATACATGTCCATCAAGCTGCTGGTGGTAGATGAGGCGCACAGGGCCAAAGGACGATATGCATACACACAGGTGGGGGCTGCTCCAGCTAGACAATATACTCGGCTTTGCCCAGGCAAAGTATTTCCCAGTCAGTCAATCATAATGTTAATCCAGGTTCATCATGCAGGTAACGGAATCCATCATGGCACGCAATCCATACTTCCGCATGCTGGCCCTGTCCGCGACGCCTGGACGCACCATGGACGATGTGGCAGCTGTGTGTCGAAATCTGTACATCTCGCATCTGGAGGTGCGCTGGGAGGACTCGATTGATGTGCGGCAGTACGTGCATAAGCGCAGCATGCGCACAATTGTTGTGCCCCTCAAGGATCGCATCAAGGAGCCGCGTGCACGTCTGCTGGAAATCATCGATCCCTATCTGCGCCAGCTAATTGCGGCAAATGTGCTGAAGAACGCGCGTGGCAACATCTCGCGCAACAATCTGCTGTACGATCAGAGCCGTTTCCAGGAGCGCGTCGCCAACGGGGAGCGTCATCCGGAGCATAGTCTAATTGTCAGTAATTTTGCCATGTGCATCAGCCTGTATCATGCCATGGAGCTGCTCGAGCGGCACGGTCTGCGCGTCTTTGTCAACAATTTCGATGCGGACGAGCATGGACGGGATAAGTTTGTGCTGAAGGATGTGGCGCTCAGGGAGCTAGTGGAGCACGTGCGCCAGCAGCTGGGTTCCAATCCCCTAGACTTTTCCACGCACGCCATGACCAATGGCCAGGTGGCGCCTCTGCCTGCAACACTGGACTTTGGACATCCCAAATACGAGCAGGCGCGTCAGGTGCTGCTCCAGCACTTCGAGGTGAGTCCATAGTTTGATTCCAAGGAGTACTTGTATACTGATTTATTCCCTTTCCTGCTATTCCAGTCGCATGCCGATTCGCGTGCCATTGTCTTCTGTGAGTATCGTGAGTCCGTGATGCTGATTCAACGTTTACTGCTGCAGCACAGGCCGCTGGTGCGTCCGCGTTGCTTTGTGGGCCAAAGCTCCGGCGGCAGTGGGATTTGTGCTCTCACCCAGAAGGAGCAGCTGCAAATAATGTCGGACTTTCGCCAGGGCATTACCAATGTGCTGGTGGCCACCTCGATTGGCGAGGAGGGCCTCGACGTGGGCGAGGTGGAGCTGATTGTGTGCTTCGATATATGCAGCTCGAACCCAACGCGTTTTGTGCAGCGCATTGGGCGCACGGGCCGGCAAAAGCGCGGCGACGTGGTCATGCTGGTCACCGAGGGACGGGAGCAGCAGCTGCTGAAGGAGATGCTGGCCAACAAGGATCAAACGAATCGCAAGCTCCTGCAATCGACGCTGGTTAAAAGCGCTCTGTATCAGCACGCCCCGCGCCTGGTGCCGCCGCAGTATCATCCGCGTTGCGAACAGCGTTTCATGGAGCCGGCACAAGTCAAGCCGCAGCCACCATCGCCTGCGAACAAGGCGCGTGGCAGGCAGCCAAAGCAGGCAACGGTTGGGTGCCAGGATCTGCGCAAATATTTTAAGCAAAGCCAGGACAGGTTTCTGCAGGGTGAACCCACCTATAAGACGAGCGCGGCCTCGCAGCAGCTGCTGCAGGAGCAGGCGGCGCGACACAGCGTGCCTATCAAGAACTTTCTGCTGGACACGCAGCCGGGCACCCCAGCCGAGGCAGCTGCACCAGCCAATGAGAGCAGCTCAACAAGCAGCAGCCAGGAGCTGATGCAGCGTCTGCGTAAGATTACGCGCCTGCTGCAGGCCACAAAACCGCTGGTGAGTGACTCGCAGCGCAATCAGGATTTGCAGGCGCAGCTGCAGGACAAGCAGCTGCCGGCTGCTCTCAAGCTCTATCTGCTGGAATCCAATGTCTGCTTCGTGCGCGATATCCATGCCAAGATGCTGGAGCAAATGCAGCGGCAGCTGCCGGCTGCGCGTCTGAACTCACGACAGCAGCGCACGCGACGCATCTACGAGCTGCTGCAGGCGGTCTGCGGCGAGCACCTGGAGCGGCTCCTGCAGCCGGAGTCAAGCGGCGCGGAGCTGACCCTGCAGGATTTGCTGCAGCCAGACGATGAGCAGCAGCGCTTTGAGGCGGACTGCGTGGATATATTTGCGGGTCTGCGGGAGCAGGGTCTGTGTGCGGATAACCATGAGCTGCTGCAGCAGCAATTGGAGCAACTGGAGCTGCGTCGCCTGGAGCAGACCATGAAGGAGCAGCTGGGCGACGAGTCGACGGGCATCTACGAGGATTGGCAGGAGCAGCAGCTGGCGGAGCAGGACTCGCTGCTGGCAGACGCTTCTGTCTATCAAAGCCAATGGGCGAACTCGGTGCATACCGCGGAGCACAGCTCCACGCCGTTGCGAGTGAAGCAGCTGCCACTGGAAGACGACTCCAGGGTGGAGTCCAGCCAGCTGAGCGCCAATCTGAGTCGCCTTAATTGCCTGATGAGTGCGGCAAGCACGCCATTCAACAAAAAGCTGGACAAGCACTCGCTGCTGGCAGAGCTAGATGAAGATCTGTCCACCTTTGATGAGCTGGCCAATCAGCAGCAGCAGCAGCAGGAATGCCAGCCCAAGGCAGCTGATGCCATGCCGGAGGCACTCGACATCGATCTCAATGATTTCTTGGAACCGCTGCCCGAGGAGCAGCTGCTGCAGCAACCGGAGCAACAGCCGCCCGCCTTGTCAGCGGCAACCACGCCGCGCAACCTATCGCCTGATCTGTTCTCGGAGGACTCCATGTCGCCCTGCAAGCCCGCAACAACAGCGCCTGCTCCAGCCAGAAGCTTAGCCGCCAAACTGGCCGCCAAATCCACGGCTGCTGTGCATGCCGAACACTCGCCGGTGCGGGCCAGAGCGCCCGTTGGCCAGGAGAAATCCCCCAGCATTTTTGAGAATTATCTGCGCAGCATGCGCGGGCGTGGTCAGTTGTCCAAGGAGGCGCAACGTATACATCGCATGACCAGCTTGTCAGCTGCTAATGAAGCTGAAGCTGGTGCCGCGCCTGTCCAGGAAGAGGAGGATTCACCAATAGTGCGACGCCGGCCAGCTAAGCGAAAGATCTATGACACATTCGACGAGCAGGAGGAGGAGCAGGAGCAGGCCAAGGATGAGTCAAAGTGCGTGCTCGCTACGCAGCTTCTGGCGGAGGACAGCTTTGAGCAGGTGCCCGCCACTCAGCTGGTAAGTGCACAAAATTCCTCTTAAGTTCCAAGTCCAATTATGATCTATGCACAGCAGGAGCTGGTGACGCCGCCGCGTCGCAAACGCGCCAGGTTCAATGCGTTCGTCTTGCAGGAGGCGGAGCAAAGTGGCTCCGATCACGAGGAGGATGAGGATGCGGAACGCACCTACGGCGCTTACCTCAAGGACTCTGTCATTGTGTCCAGCGAGGATGAGGGCCACAACGATACCACGACACATGCCATGTACCTGCAGGCGATGAAGTAAGTCTTGGCTCGCCCGGGTTGTCTTGTAACCAACTGATACCATGTCTTTGTCCTTGCCAGGAGTCCTGTGCATCGTCCGGGCGCCTTCAAAATGCCTGCGCCGCGTGCGTTCCACGACGAATCGATTTTCTCTCAGCCCGTGGAGGCGGAGCCATCGCAATACTATCCCTGCTCGTTTGTGGTGAGTGATGAGAGCGAGGCGGATGACAAGCACGACATATCCGAATGCCCGCTGGAGCGTGCCGAGCGCATTCTCAAGGAGCAGCGACGTCAGCGACGACGTGGCGCCCCAATCGACCAGAATCCGCCAGTTGTCAGGAGCAAGCGGCGGCGCATTCACACGCTGAGCGATTCCAGTGACGATGATGTTGTCTACGTTAAATGATTAAGCCTTCTCATGTGTATACCCTATAACAGACCGAATTTATTCCCTCTTACGACTCAGGCTTAACGTGCTCCAGAGACGATGTCAATTGATTAATCCAAGTGCTGCCAGCTCTTCTAGACTACCTCTCTATTGTATGCCCTGTACTTTACTTCATGTATACCCTCTACAGACTTGACGTTGTCTATGTCAATTGACTATTCCAAGTGCCAGTTTAACACTTCCTCTCCTTTGTGTAGCCCTTACTTTACTTCATTCTTACCCTGTACAGACTCAGGTTTATGTTATGGGATGATGTTATCTTTGTTAAATGATTAGCCCGAGTGCGACCAGTTCTGTTGTATTGTGCATACCCTATAATGTTAACTCTATATAGTTAATACCCTGTAAAGTCTCAGGTTTTTCGTTTGTGACTTAACGCATTAGTTAAAGTACTTTATTTTACGTGTTTGTTTAATACTTTGGTTTTTATATGTATGTGGTTCCAGTTGTGCAGGAGCTACAAAGAGAATAATTAAGAAAAATACGTACGTTTAGTCTTTAAGTCTTGTGACATGTACCTTAAATCGAATCTGTGAATGTACTTTAGAGATGTTAGTTCTGATGTACCTATTATGATAATAATAATGTTTTATATCATTTTGCAAGTCCCTATGCATTTGAAATGGGGCGCAAGTCTGCTCACCTGTTTCCAGGAACGTCTCCTAGACCAAGTAGCTGCGCGCTGGCGTCTGATAGTCGCTGGCAATCGGCTTGAAGGTTGTGTTATGGCGCTGCTTGTAGAGATCCCTGGGCTGGACGTACAGCTCCTTGAAGTCCTCGCTGCTCACATGCCGGCTGGCCGAGCCCAGGCACATGCCGCCGCTCTGGCCATGGCCGCGCAGCTGCACCTCCGACTCGTAAATGTTGTCGACGAGCGCCTGGCGCGACTTGGCCGTGGTGCGGCGTCTGCCCTTCTGGCTGAATGCCTGGGAGCGCGGACCACTGTCCAGTCTGGCGCGCCGGGATGCAATGCCTGTGCAGGTGAGTATTATGCCCAGCAGCACGCTGAACTCGACCAGCGCAAGCACCAGGCTGGCGGCCAGAAATATGCCATACTGCTCACGATACCAGCCATCCAGATGCATCAGGCAGGATTCTGTGTAGCGCTCGCGCTCGTAGATGGACCGTTCCAGCGCCTGACACTGGGTCTCATTGGCGGGCTTGGGATCGAGAAAGGCCAGCGGCTGTGGCGCATTGGCCAGCACGCAGCAGCTGAGCGGCACAGGCCAGTTACGCTGGCCATAGCTCTGGAGGCGCCACAGCGAGTTGTCGTAGTCCAAGGAACTACGCATGCCGCAGCAGCCGAAACGGGTTTGGGCCAGGTCCATGGCATTGGTGAACTGCTCCTGGCCGGGCACGCCATAATTGCGCTGCAGCGCCTTCACCATCTGCCCCTCGTCCAAGCTGATGCCCAGACAGTGCGGCCAGAGTGTGATGGCCAGGCAAATGACAGACTCCGCCAGCAGCAGCACCACCACGCTCAGAAAGTAGATGCTGAGGAAGCAGTAGGTGTGCAGGCAGCTCGCCCAGAAGCCCAGCACCGCCGCCAGCACAGCCGCAAATCCGGCTATGGCCAGACCCACTGCGATGTAGTACAGCAGCGGCTGGGGCAGCGAGTTCAGCTGCTCGCTGGGCGCCGCCAGGAGACGTGACAGCAGAATGCGTTTGCTATCCGTATACAGATAACAGCCTGCCACAATCAGCAGCGTGCCACAGAGCTGGAAGAGAGCCAGAGGGAGAGAGAGAGAAAGAAAGAGGGTGTAAACAAAAGTCGACTTCTATTATTATTATTATTGTTGTTGTTGTTGTTGTGTGAAAAGCATGAGGTCTGCGCGCACGCAACGGAAGTTGGAGCTCGCCTGCCCCCATTAACCCCTGCCCATTTCCTATATGAGATGTTACCTGCTCGCAAATACCCTGTACCCAATGGAAAGGGTGTTGTTGCTCAGATGAAACGTCTGTACTACTCTATATACGCCTGGATCTCATAGTCTTCATTTTTGGTAAACAAACATCTTTGAATATCCTCTTTTAGCCTTGGAAATTTCATTATGATTCTCCAGGTAATTCAGTTATTTTCGTCAAGTTGTCTACAGGGTATCTGCTAGTCGTATACCCTCGACTGGAGTTTTTTTTATTACTGGTGCCAAGCTGCGCCTGCGCTTGGTCCGCCCGTTTGGCAGCCAAAAAGCGTTGGCAAAAACTTTTGGACTCCTCCTCCCACTCCTCCGCCGCCTCCTCCTCCTCCATCCAGCTGCCTCATTCAAATAGTTTCAATCAGCCAAGCAGAACATAAACTAATACAACAAAATCGAGCAAGCAAAATAGTGTAAAACGCCAGAGAGACGAAGAGCGTATGCTCTAACTCAGCTCAGGTGTGCGGCGGGAAGATAGGAGTTAAGTGGACCCGAGATAAGATAAGTTGAAAAACCGATCTTGTGTCAACTATTTGGCTGGTTATTTTGATAAGTTAGCTGGAAAAACTGATTTGATTTTAAAGAGATCCACGTTAGATGACGGTGAGTCAATTTATAAGAGAAGTTGCTGGTTCGAATCGTAGGTTTCTTAGAAGCGGGCTTAGGTATCACATTGCTTTTTACAATCTTATTATTTACCTTATTCCAAACTTCTTTTTAGACTTAGCAACTAGTCCATGCTTTCATGGCTCTTATAATCCAATTGCCTTATAATCTTATTATTAATATTATAATGCTATTATTTGCCTGCTCCTTGACTTTTTTTTCAGACTTCTTTAGTCGGGAACTATTTTAGTTCTTAATTTTCTATGTTTATTTATTTAGTATTTAATTATCAAATTATAAAAATTAAGTGCATAAATCCCAATAGCATACAGAATCCGGCTAGCAATAGGGCGATTATGCCCGAACTCCCAAGTCAATTTTTTTTTTAATTTTTTAAATATTCTTGTAAACTTCATCATATAATCATGGTACCCCTCAGTTTACACCCAACTGAACTGAAACAAATGGAGTTTTACACAAGTAATTTGGGCAGCTTGTGACGCGTATAGGCCCTAGATTTCACCTCATCTATATGGTATATATATTTATCTATATCTGTATACCTCTGCTTAGACTTACCAAAAACAACAGGTTGCAAAAGTTGAGCACAAACTTGTGATTAAAACAGCGCCCCATTTCGCAGTTGTTGTGGGTGTTTCTTAATTAATTAAGTGAATTTTAAGACAATTGAGCGGTCAGCGTTTTGTGGCATGTGGCCTGTGGCAAGTCGCGTTCGTTTCACATAGATTGTTCTATTCTTTATGTCATTTCTGCGGCTGGGCAGCTGTTTAAGTGGAAATGCACAAAAAGCAGCGACAGCGATTTTCAATTTTCAACGGTTTTTCTTTTTTCTGTAACCAAACAGCGCGCTTGACGGATGAACGTTAACTGAAAAGTCCAAAGCTGCCCCAAGTTGTGGCAAGTTCACGCGCGAGCGTTGAGGCAGAGCCCAGCCAAGCTCTAACGCTCACATTTCTGTTTACGATCTGTCTCTCTCTCGCTCTCCCTCTCCTACTCTCACAGACGCTCTCTGCGCTTTCGCTCTCATTCTTTTGCTCGGCTGCGTCTGCAGCTGCAGTCAAATGGAACCGTTTGTAAACAATGAAGCAGCAGCAACAACAACAACAACAACAGCCATGGGAGCTGGTCAGAACTCTGCATGGAAAACTTGTTGGACAGGCTTATCTTTCAATGCGCGACGGCTGCTTTAAAAGTTGTAAAACATGTCAAATGGATGTGGCTCAAACATATCTATATAATAATTTTCACTTAGTATCTTCGAACATTTCACTTTTAACACACAGCTGAAATAGACGCTGCCGAAAAGTCATTAAGACGCGAGAACAAATTACAGTTCTTTCGACAAAGTGCCGCTGCATGCATGTTCGAATATCGAAAGGAATCAAATGCAAGGCAAAACGAGCGAGAGCAGCCTTTGTTGTTGCTGGCTTATCTGGTTAAGGTTCAGACTCAGCACAGCTACCGTACAAACTTTTGGAACAGCCCTCGTAAATGCTCTGAGCATGTTCTTTGCGTTTTTGAAGACACACTTTAATTGAATTTTCTTGTTGACCTGCGCTTGGTGCGCTCTCTTTATACACTCTCTCCCACTCTCGCGCACTCTCTCGCTGCCCACTTTACCGTTGTGATCCACATGGCGCTGGCACTTCCGCTGCCGCTGCGCAATACGCATATAGCCGTACCCTGCCCCCCCCCGCCGCACCGCAAGCACATTAAATCATTCATTACTTCACTCATTTGGGATTGGGGTCAAAGCTGTTGTGGGCGCAACCACTTGCCAAGGGTTGCCTGGGCAATTAGAAATCACCACAGCAGCGGCAAAGATGCAAAGTGTAGCCGCTCCAGAATTAGTGCCTGGAACTCATCCAAATTGGGCGCTGGGGTTAAGAGGTGCAGCGTTCAATGAACTTGAACATTTGGGAGATGTGGGTGAAAAGCAGATGAGTGTACGTATTGGTCCGATAGAGGATTAACTTAAGAATAAACCGATTCATTTACTAACACTAGATTTACCAAACGAGTCAAAATAACTGTTATACAATTCTATTTGTCTTAAAAGTATTCTTAATATGGACAATTCCGCCCGCAACAGTGGAAAATTGGCGGAAAACGGTTGTAAAACTTATTTTCGACTTCGATAGCTCGGCCAAATCTCATCCGATTTTTACGAGTCTTAAGTCTTTGTCCATTGGTTGGCCTCTAGATCTAAATCTGGCAATATAAGTCTTCAAATATCCTCAAATATCCTATATAGACATAGGACAAATTCTTACCAAAGGAAAAAATGAGAACCGAATGCGAAGAATGGTCAAATTTCCCATTGAAATTTGTGTCAAAACTGAAAATATTGTGCCCCATATGCTTAAGTCGAATACTTATATACATATATATATATTTTTGTATAGGATATAAACACAGTTCAAGTAACCCTACGTTGGATCAGCTAAGAACAGTTGCCATCACTCAGAAGACGAACACAATGCAAATACAAAAGCCTGAGAATGATGCGCAGCTGGAAAATGGCGAAAATGTGGAAATGGACAACATGCTGTGCGACCTCATCGACATACACAAGGTGAAGGGCAACGAGGAGGCACTCAAGCGTGTCCTGCAGAGCATCTACAGCCAGCTGAACAGCAGCCACGAGGTCAAGTTTGGCACCAAGCTCTATGACAAGCTGATCTCGGTGGTGATCGCGGACAGGGACAACGTGCATGTGAATCGGGAGCAGATCTCCAAGGTGCTCGACGCGGTGCAGGCGCATGCACGTCAATTTCCCTGGCCGGGATTGTGTCTGCTGCGCAAGCTCTCCTCGATATCGCTGTGCGAAACCTTGGGCGCCGAAGGGGATCAGCTGACGGGCGCGCAACTGCATCCGCATGCGGGGCAAATACTGGAGCATCTGTTGGATGACTTTGTGCGTGAGCTCGGGCTGGAGTGCACCTGCTCGCCGCAGCTGTTCACAGTGATCCAGGAGCTGTTGCAGTCGGAGCTGAGCGAGAACCGCCAGCTGGCCTATTCCATAATGCGGAAGCTGCTGCTCAGCATTGAGAAGTGCAAGGAGAATAATAAGGACTGCGACAAGGACTGTCCGCAGGTGCAGGCGGCCCTGAAGTGCGTGGAGCCCCACTGGCCGGCCTATATAGTCATCATGGAGCAGCTGGAACATCAGGATTCGCACCTGGTGCTGCCCATGCTGAGCGGCCAGCTGCCGCGCTTTGTGGCAAGCAGCCAGGACAACGATTGGCTCAGCTGGCTGCGAATCCTGTATCTGAGACTACTCGACAATAAAAACAAGCTTGTCGTGCGCTGGACTCTGGAATACTTTCTGCTGCACTCCAACATCGCGGAGCTGCGCCGTGTCAATCTGCTGACCAAATTCCTGGATGCCACCAACAAAACTGAGCTGTACGATGCCGAGGATTACATGCTGCCGGAGCTGAATATCAAGGCGTTCGTCCAGAATAGTGGCACGCTGCAGTTCCTCGAGTCGCTGGTCACTGTGCCCTGGCTGAGTCTGCCCCTGCTCCACTGGCTGCGCAGCATGCATCCTCGCCAGCCGCATGTGGCCAAGAGTTTGCTCTTGAAGATTTGCGGGCGTGTCAGATCGTTGCAGCATGAAACTCTGCGTTATGAGGCTCAAAATCGCATGTTCGATATATTCGAGGTGAGTTTGAGTCCGTTTCAAGTTGAGGTGAGTTTGAGCACATTCCAAGTTGAGGGTATGCGCTTTTGAGGTTATGTGTATAAGGTTTTGAGGTTAGGTTTCATAAGATGCGGAACAGTGTTGCAAAAGCGTCTTATAATCTATATTTTGTTAGAAAGAGCTACTTTTTGACTGACTGACTGATGATGAACGATTAGCCTAACCATAAGAGATATAAAGGTGAACTTTTTACCTTTGAGATTGAAGAGATTTTGAGAAATTATCGTTAACGGTGCAGAAAACCCACCAACTATTAAAAACTTCACACTCTTTTATTTCAGCCCACAATTGAAAGCTTCTCGCTGGGCGATTATATACAGTTTATGAAGGCGCTTTGCAGCACAAGTGACAATTTTTGTAGGGATCACAAACGTTTTACGGCAAAAATTGCGAACTGCACAAATATCACTGAGGAAATGGTATATTTTGACAAAGCCCTGTTCACAACAATTTTTCGCACAGGTAACAAACAAAACATAGTTTCAACTTAGCCAGATTTAATTGTACTATATTATTTGTTCAGATGTCAAGGTAGGCATCGAGCTGCATAAGCAACTGAGCCAGTTGCCTCGGGCTCAGCATGGCTGGTGGCGTCTGTTCTCCTTCTTTTTCAGCCTGAAACTGGAGTGTCCCAGTGAGCGAATGCATATACTCGACTTTTATCAGGAGATCTACGATTTGAACATAGATGTGCTCGAGCGCATCGCAGATCTCAAAGAACTGCAGCAATATCTAGTCGAAAAACTGAAATGTGAAACGGAGGAGGAGATAAGTTTTGTGCAGCACCGAGCTGTCGATTGGTTTACTTGTGAGAAACTGATTACTTGGAAGCAACTGGACGAGATGAGCATCAAGCCCGGGGACTTAGTTAGTCAAGGCACCATTCTAACAGCCCAACGTATAGCGACTTTATTAAACAACATTGAGGCCAGATTGGAGGATGAGAGCATACTCAAAGCCCTAATGGCATATCTAAAACAATATCCGGACAGCGTTTTGGTGTAAGTCTCTGTCCTAGTATTGGATACAATAGATCGATTGCAGAGTTAATTCGGCTACGTCTTCCCGTCCGTCTGTATAAACGCGACTAGCTCAGAGCTTAAGCTACTTCCCAATATAGCCAAGTTGTTTAATGTACACAGATTAAGAAAAGTTAGCTGGAAACAGGGCATCAGTTAGTCGATCAGTCACAGTCTAACGTGCTTCCACTTACCCTGTTGCAGTGCCACGGCCATTGTGAAGTACGCCTCTACGCATTGGCCCATTGAGGAAAGCGATCAGATCCTAAACGAGGTGCTCGAGGCGAGCCAGTTCCTGAACATAAACGTCCTGTGCTGCACAAAGAGCGTGCCCACAGCGCTGCTTATACGCGGCGTACTCTCGGGCAATCCGCTCTCTGGCGAAAAATGGTAAGTAGAGCAGTTCGTATTTCGATCTCAATTAATACTCCGTATTTGTCCACACAGCATCGAGTATGGTTATCTGATCAATCAGTATAATTATTTCTTCACCAGCTGTAGAAAGCGCGATAGTTATATTAATTTTGTTATTGAAGGTAAAACCGATACGAACCCACTTCTAGAGGAACTGCTGCGCATCAACAACGAGATGACCGAGAAGAAACAACATTATCTGGAGAACTCCAAGGAGCATCGCATCAAAATGCGCATCGCCAGGGCATTGCTGAGGATCACATTCAAAAGTTCCAGCTTCTGGTCGGATCAGTTGTGGCTGGCGCTTCTGGCCGCCAACGAGCGGGAGAATATTCGATATATGTACGAGTGCCTGGTGGCTCGTTGTTTGCCCAACGTGGAGTTGCTATTGAAGCGTCTGCAGCAGTTGGCCGCGCTCAAGGCATGCCAGCAGTTGTCCTTGATCTCCGTGCTGCACATCTACTGCCTCAGCAAGTACAATCAGATCAGAGTCGAGCAGCTGCAGCGCATTATCGATCTGCTGTTGCCGCTCACAATGACCAAGGATCTGGAGATCAGACTGTTCGCCCAACTGGTTTTGCACCGGCTGCTGGTGCAGTTCGAGGACAGCAAGTATAAATAGCTTGACAACATCATTGAACCTGATTCACGGGCTCACATTCCATTTTCCAGCATCAAGCTGCCTGGCGTTACCAACATGAAGCTGGCCATTGAGGGCAGCCTGGGCCACAAGCTGCTCGAATGCCAGCACGAGGGCCGCCTGCTGCTGCCCAAGATTTGCTACCAGACTCCAGATGGGCTACAGGCAGCCGATTTCATACTATATATGACATATGCGCCGTGCGACGAATACTTTGCCGATGCGCTGCGGCCGAATATGAAACTGAAATCGGAACTGGGCAAATATCGCAGCAGTCTCAAGATTAAAGTTGTGCCGGGCTAGTCAGCTATCCAGGGAAGCCCTGCAGAATGTTTAAGAAATTGTAAATGATTTATACGATATTGAAGAATTTAAATACATACCATACTTTTTTATAGAGTAGGCTGCACTTAAATCAACTAAAAATTAATACATATAACAAATGCAAATATTAGTAAATAAAATATTTAACAACAAATTAAAACCCATTGCAGTTGTACTTAAAATTTGTGTATATAATTGTAATAAAATCAAAAAAAAAAATAAAACCAAATTGTATAAAAACTACTTTTAAAAAAATTTCAATGGCTTTTTGTTGTTGTTTTAATACATATATAACTACATAAAATCTTACAAATTTTGCTCGCATCTCCTCATTTTTTGTTTTGTTTTTCTTTTTTTTGGAAAATAGTTTTCGCATGCACACACAACATATATATGGAAATTTTGGGCGCACTCTGTGTACAATATTGTGTTATTATTATTAACTATTTAAAATAAGAAAACTTGTAAAATTGGTTGTACTAACGGCGTTTGCGTCTAATAAACGCCAAACGCTCTATATTGTATATATAATTGGTAATTGTTTTATAACTTTTTTTCAGCATTTGCTTTTGCTGTGGCTTTCATTTTAGTTTAGTTTTTGTTTTGGGTTGATTTTGAGGCCAAATAATGAGTTTGGTTTGTTGTACAAAAGATTTGATTTGCATTCGCACAGCTTTGGGATTTTTTTTGTTTGCGCAGAGACAGAGTATAAAATTAGGTTTAATGAAACAACCAACAAAACGTGGTGGCAATGGCCATAATATCGGGCCAAACAGGCACTAGAAATCCATGGAAACATTTGAATTGACGGGCATATTGGCGCTGCAGTTGGGCAAGGCCATCATATCAGCAGCTGCCGCCTGATCCGACGTCTCCTGCAGCTCTGCAAGGATAATTAAAACACATTCAACAGGTTATTGGAGAGTTTGTGATTGGGTGCAGCAGCTCCTACCTGGTGGCAGATGCAGCTTCTCAATGACAAACTTCTTGCGGCGCAGCTTAAATGCCAGATCCGTGGTCTCGGGCATGTGCACGGCCAGCGTATTGATGGCGCTCATCTTGTGCAGATGCAACAGGCCGCTGTACTCCTTGAAGGCCGGATGCGTTTCACGCTCGGAGCCGGCAAACGATTCCAGCTCAATGGCATAGTCCACCAATTGACGTATCTTGGGCACCAAGCTGGTTTCCTGTGTAACAACGAAAAATATCAATCAGTAACTGCTCCAGATGACACACATTTCAGCGAATCGATTGGTTACTCACATATTTGGCTATCAGATGCATGGGCATTGTGATGAAACAGACGGCGGTGCAGCTGCGCACGCTGGCGCGCAATATGGTTAGAAACTTGAGCAGATCCTCGGCAAAGTGCTCATCGTACCAGAGTGGCGAGCCCAGCGAGGTGAGGCAGACGCGGCACAGATTCTTCTGCTGCACATTGGTGCCCGGCTCGAAGCTCTCGTCGTTCAGCAGCAGCTGCAGATAGTCGAGCAGGCGGCCATATCGTGGATTGTAGAAGAAATGTGGCTGAGCGGCTGGCGGCGATGCAGTTGCAGTTGCCGACGCCGACTCATTTGCACTTGCAGCTGTTGTTGCGGCTGTGCTTGTTGCATTGTTGGCAGTGCTGCTGTCCGTGGTAGCATTGTCATTGTTGTTGTTATTGTTGTTGTTGTTGTTGTTGCTGGCAGTGCTTTGGGCCTCGAGCTGAACAACTGGAGCTGCTTCATCGCCGCTAGCAGCAGCAGTTGGCTCCAGTGAGCTGGTGGAGTTGCATATGTCATCCTCTTGGACAACAATATTGGCTTTGTTGTTATCATCCCAGATGGTGGCCTGGGCATAGGAGAGCATCATCGGTTCCATGTGCTCCATCAAATTGAAATGATGTCCTATTTTGGCAGTTGCCTGCTCCGAATTGACCAGCGGCAAGTCGCTGTAGCGAAAGGCAATGCGCAGCCCATTCTTATCCGCCGGCTGCTCTTGCTCCTGGCGCTGCTCCTGCTCCACCTCCTCGTCGGTCAGCGGCTTGGGCAGACGACGCAGCATTTCCGCTGGCAAATCGTCCAGGCTGCCCAGAAATATCTCCTGCTTGGACAGCACGCCCTCCGCCAAGAAGTACTTGACCAGCACCTTGGCGTGCGTCATAAACCGATCCTCCTCTGCGCGAACAACAGTTAGAATATCAGTTAGCCATTACTGCGTTTCGCAGTTTCCACTTACCAATCAGGCATATCGAGCCGATGGGCAGTCCGCCGCCTAAAATCAGATCGAGCGATGGATTACCGCTGGAGGTGATCACCTGGGCGGTGTGGGGGCTTGTGCGTGTGCCACGGATTGGTTTTTGCACGGTCCGTTTGCGAAAACTCGTCATGTCTCAACAATTTTCCACTATTGCGTTACGTTTATCAGTTCTCTTTTTTGTTTGCCGGGAAAAAGAAGACGGAATGTGTGCAAGGGAAAAATGTGCTAAAAATGGACACCAACCCGACTTGGTATTAAATACTTGATTCTCTCTTGGTGTGACAAATATCCATGCTAAATGCGATCTATATTTGATTAAATCACTGAATAAATGTAAAAAATATATAAAAGTTAATGTAAATGCCATATAATAGTCGTTCAATGTGCACTTTCAAGTCCTGCTGACATTTCTTTACATTCTTTTAAATCCATGTGTGCGAATTGCCTTCAAATCGACCGACCGCCACAGCATGTTGTTGAAATTCCTTCAGATTTTTCTACACTCTGTTATTGTGCGATGTTTACAGACGCTGTGATGTTAGAGCAATTGCTCTCAAACTGTTTTGCTCAGCAATGCACAGCGGCTGCCAAACTGCTGATGAACATTGCAATTTTGTGCATTTGATAATTAACAGACAATGTAAGATATATTATTCTTAATTTTTTACTTTTTAATTGTTCATATGTGTAATCTTTGTTAATTGTACTCCACAATTGCTGTACCAAGGTGGACCGCTTTGGCTTTCTTTGATGACATTCTATCTGGCGATGTTCACAGCAATTTCCTTGAAACTGTATGGCTGAGCAATGCACAGAGGCTGTAAAACTTTTTTGTACATTTACAAATCCAAATTATTCGAAATAATTTATGTTTCTTTTGTGCGCTATACCGAGTATTTACTGTAGCTGGTCGGCTTGTGTCCTGGCTACAAAGGCAACCGTTTAGCAAATCAAACATGCTGCGGGTTATCTTTAAGCGTGTGTGGCAGCTGGCACGCCCCGCGTCCGCTGAAAGGATAATTGCGCCCATTTGCGCAAAAAGGATGCGGCTGCTGTTGTTTTAATTACAGGTTTCAGCCTGTACAAAGGACTAATAAGGATAATGATGAAAAGGCAAACAGCAAATGCTCCGCAGGACACCAGCCGAAAGAGTTAAGCGACGGCTCCAAAGTCGAACTGAAAAATGTGAAATCTCTGCATGGACTTTCCTGGAAGCCACAGGACACACGCAACATGGCAAAAAAAAAAAAAACAAAAAACAGTAAAAAGGACGCAGGACATGCAGTCAAATGGCGTCAGTCTTCTGCGTGGGAAAGGTAAACAGCAAGAGCACAATAAATAATGGGCTGTGCACAGGCAGAAAGGACAATGCAGGACAATAATTATTGATTGCAGGCGACACACACACTCACACACACACACACTCGCACACACACACGCACACATAGCCAAATCCAACCGAATTGCAAAACAAGGAGAACGAAGAGCGCCCGTAAAAGTGTTTGCCAAAGGATTGCGTGTCCTGCGCGTTGCACAGGACTTGTGTAATTTATGGCCAGGACTGACCAGCATGCCCAGCCGCAGCAGCTGGCACCACCCGTCGACGCAAACCGAACGTGGTCAGCTCCGGTAGGGGCAGCAGTTAGAAGCAGAAGAAGAAGCAAACCCATTGTCGAATCCTTTGACTCCTTTGACTTATTTAATTACGAATTTATGTGGCATGGCCAATGCGTTTGGACATGGCCGACGGCGCAGGCGCAACAAATCCATATTTGACTGGCAATAATCACGCGGCGGCGGCGGCAGGACGAAAAGGATAGTGAAAGTGTGCGGCAAGGAGCCATAAAATAAAAACATGTGCACACTAGAGAAATCTAAATATTAACGACGCGTGGCCGTGTCCTTTATTACTAAGCACAACAAGTGTTAAGCGTGTGACTCTCAAACTGTGGCAGCTATTGCACTCAAACTGTGAGTGGAAAATTTAGCTATCAATTGACTGATGAGCTAAGCAAAGAGCCCTCTAAACTAGCTAACTAAATAGTCAGCAAAGTGCTTAACTTATCTGTTGCAGCGGAAAACTAAGGCGGAACTTCAGAAAATTCCTTTTGTAGTTGCGGAAAATTGTTGGAAAAGCATCGAGTGTAAATTTGTTGGTTCCACGTAACTTTAAGCTTATATTCAAAGATTTTTATTTGCGAAAAATAGCCTGAATAGACATTTTTCTTTTTAGCCCATTGCCTTCAAGAGGCTTTTACCAGATTGACATAAATCGAGATGAGTTCCACTGGTTTCAGTAAATCCACAGCTTCGCATGGAAATGGATGCTCAAGTTTATTTTGGATATGTTTTTAATCGTTCGTCGGAAAATGGTGCGGAAAGTTTTAAAGTTTCACCCGGGCAATGCCGGATAATATATATAGCTAGCTATATATCTGTTTCCAGAAAATCCACAGTTCTGCGTGGAAACGGGAAATCAAGTTTATTTTAATACAGTTTTTAATCTAAAAGACAGCCAAAGGCTGCGAAAACTTGTTAAATACATTTTGAATTGCTTTGCCCGTGCAATGCCGGTCTATTTCGGGCATTACCAGCTATATATCGTTGTATACTGTTTCCGCAAATCCACAGTTCTGCGTGAAAATGGAATCCAAGTCAGTTGAAAGACGTTTTCTAATCCACGGCCGGCAAAGGGTGCGGAAAATTGTTGCATATAAGTCGAACACATTGCACGTGCAATGCCGGGCTATATCAGCTATAAGCCATTGGATGCCAGGACTCGCGCTGCATATGTGATAAATGGCTTGGTCCTTCGCCAGCTGACAGGAAGTCAAACGACAAATTAACTCAACTAAACTATACGCGGCGGCGCACATTTTCGGTTTTATTTTTATAGTCGTTGACATTTTTTTAATGAATTTTTGGGACTTGGACGCGGGGAAAATTTGTGGAAAAGTCGAGGGGAAAAGTGTGCCCAGACGGGGCATGCGTGGAGGGGGGAGTTAGTGGGGCAAGCCGTTGCTGTAGATTCTCAAGTGTTTTCGATGGCGTTCATTTCGACAGTTTCGAGTGTGTGTGGATGTCCTTTTTAGCGATAACAAACGAAGTAGGATGTTTTTAAGGCGCAGGATATAAAAAACTCTTCACGTGAAAATCTTAGGAACTGTTATGTAAATGTTCAAAAAGTTAGCAAGGCTTTCTTCGAACTGCTTCAAGTGTAGACATAAAAGTTTTCGACTTCGACTCTTTCCTGCCTTGGCTGCGTCTGCAGAAGCATTTACAGGGTATTGGTCAGTCGTTCTCTTTTAAGTTTTAATTTCTTCTAGAGCCTGATTTGTAGTGCTCTCGAGCTTTGATTGAGACGAAGCTGTCTTGTTTTTGCCTGACATAGCTTCAAGTTGTGGCTGTGGGCGTTACATGCCGCACGCACAGGACATGTGTGTGCCGCATGTCCTGCGCCCCACAGGTAAGTTGTGCGCATAAGCTGGCCACGCCTGCCCCCGCCCCTTTTCAGTCCATTTTAAGCTACGTTTTACTTTTTTCTTGGCTGTTTTCTTCCTTTCTGGCGGACATTCGTTGCCGCATGTCATGAGGTCCTGATGCTTCTGCCTGGTCGCTAGGATACCCTTTTGCTTTTAAGGCAGCCGCCTGTTATTTGATGCCTTGTTAACTTTCATCTGCGTGGTGTTTGGGGGGGGGGAGGGGGAGGGGTGTGCAGGCGGCAAAGCAGGAATTCGGCTTGTTTTAGCTTGTTTTTTAGTTTCTATTTTTTTTATTTCTTCGGGCAGCAGCTTCTTGTTTTTCAATGAATGTCCTTTCTGGCTAGGACAATGCGTGTTGCTGCCGCTGCTCGTTTTTCTTCTAATGAAAAGGAAAGTGGGCTTTCATTTTTCATTTTCTTGTATACTATTTTTTATTTTATTTTATTTTATTTTTTTTGTATTTTTTTTCGGGCACTTCTTTGAGCTGGGATGAGTCCGCTGCGTGGTATTCGCTTTCATGTACCTTGGAGTTTATAAGCTTTAAGCTGGGGGCAACACGAAACTGTGTGTGTGAGTTTGTGTGTGAGTGTGTGTGTGTACGTGGACAGCTCTTTGGGTTACCTGGGCAGCCGGGCGCCTTTGAAAATTAAAGCAATTATCGCGTGAGGTTAGCGGGGAAACAGTTTAGAAAAGCTTCAGAAAAATATGGCAAGCTTATGTATTGGGATTTTGGGTGAAGCTCAAAGTTCCTTTAAAGTTTTTCTCGAAGGAAGGTCTGTAAAGCAAGATTAAAGTGCATGCTTAAAGCTTTTGGTGAGCATTTTCCAGTTAATATTAAAGCACTTACATTTGACAGCTACATTCAGTGAATAAATCTATAAAGCATACATAGGTATAATTAAAAGGTATTTTAAGCTAATGCTTAAAGCTTTGGCAAGCTTTCAGGGTTTATATTAATTGACCAAATCTGTAAAACATGCTGAAAGTATTTTTCAGCTTTTCAAGCAAATATTAAAGCTTTTACATATGAAAGGTAAAGCTTTCATAAGCTTTTAATATTAATATTAAAGCTCTAACCTACAGATAGCTACAGCTAGTTCAAGTTTAAAATTACTATAAAGTAAACAAACAATCAAAGCTCAGTTTAAGTTTAGGCTTAAAGCGTTACCTATCCTAGAGTATGATAGAGTTGGGTACCATAAAGCTCGCTTAGCAGAAAATATGATTTCAAGATCAATCCTTAAGCTTTTGCTTGAACTTAAGCTTTTATGGTTTTTTGCAGCTACAGTAAGAGATTGCTAGGATTGAGAGTCAGTTTAAACCAGTTCCATTTACATATTTCACACGCTACTCAGATGACGCGCCACTTCATTAATAACCCAACATATCCTGTCACACTCGAGTAGTACCCGGGCAAGGTGTCCAAGTGGTTGAGCATCCACTGCAGCTGCTGTGTCCGCCGATCCTTTGACACATTTAGACATCCTGTCTGTCCGTCCGTCTGCCCCCAAAGAGATGCCCTAATCAGGGCTCGTAAATATTTTGAGCAGCTCACATCGTTAACAAGTTTTGAATTACCTTCAAGCGAGTCATTTATCACATTCGAATGGAAGTACTTGCCCAGCCCTTGGCTCGTTGTGATTGGCCTACCGCATAAAAAGGGTTAACCCAGCCGCACAACCCTTGGAGCAGGCACAACCCTTAGCTAAAGCTTGAACTGCAGCT